GTCCACTTAATCTACCTGTGAATTTCGTGTTTTTAAAATTACATTAATTCGTACCTAATTGTATTATATGTTAGGAAACTGTTACAAGCACAATCTCTTGATCGTCATAAATCAACTTAGATTTAAATTACACGTTTAATTGTTATTCATTACCAATCGTTGTAAGAACAGTGCTTGCGAAAAATACGGCTTGAAAAACACTCCATCTTTCAGTTACGATCGGCTGTAAATCTGTCGTATCTCGATTTTCTTGGTCTATTGTGTCTGTCACGAAAGAGACCAACAAACCACCTTGTGCTGCTTTCTGGACTGCCTCTTCGTAAGCACGTAATTTTACGCTAACCTGTAAACATCCCTTGCATCGCATTCTTTCTAACTATTCAAAAACGATTGGTACGTTTCAAAATATCGGTTCGATTTTGATCACCTCCACCAAGTGAGTATTTCGAATCGAAATTTGAAGGTGCACCATCAATGTTGAAATCACCGACTTACCAATGTGCGTAAATTTGACACATCGGTATTGTTGGAAACCGCATTGACGAATGAATATCTTTCAGCACGTAAATTGGCGCGCAAAACTTCCAAACGTGCTAATTCTGCCGGAAGTTCGATATGCCGAAAAACCTGTTAATGAAAACTATAATAATAAATTCCACCAAATTATTTTATGATTTATATATTTCAACATTGTTCTAGAATAGCATAGTTCTAATGTAAGAAATTAACTTTGTTTACTAACGACATTTAATACACTTGTAAACCTCTTGACTCTCAAGTGGTTGGTCTTTCAATATCATTTTACGTGCTTCAAATATATGTTCGATTTGCATTTTGATAATGTCGCTAATTATTTTATTCCGTGAGTTTAATACTAGGTAATATTCTTTCAAAGATAACATACAAATTCATTCTTTAAAAATTGCAAACTAAAAGATAAACAATATATGTAAACGTTTAACAAAGGAGGTTAGTATTAATCGCATCGAGCCATGCGATTGGTCAATTGCTAAAAATAAAGACACCAAATGGAAATCCAGATCCGCGTTGTTATTTCTGTAAATATTACATTCTATAAACTTGCGTAAATAAATAGTTAAAAAATTGGAATATTCATTGGTATGTTTAATAATATCAACCAAATACCATTTGTCATTAAAAATCTTTCTATACATTTTTACATTATTTATAACATTCCTTTAACGCGTAATTATTTATAAAAGAGTAATTTTTCATCCAATTGTTCTTTTCATATCTAACAGCAACTTTATATAGTTATTTGACGAAAAATGCAGTAGCTATTTCTATTTAGTTTTTTTAATTTAAACGTGCACGTTTAAAAGTTTAACTTACTAAACCACCAATTGCTGTATAAAGCATCAATGCAATCAAAAGTCCAACGTGACCAGCGATCGACTTGATTTTTTGTATATGTTGCTTTTGAAACAATCTTCTTTCTTCTGTAGTTTGTCCGACATTTTCTTCAGTAAATCCCACAGATAAATCAGACTTTTTGATCGACATTTTAAACACACGCGTTTTGCGAAACACGTAACTGCTTCTTATACTCGAGGGAGACTGATTGGGTTCACCCGAATCTTCTACAATCACTTCGGTTATTTCCGTACGGAAGAGCGAAGGAACTGTGGTCTTAAAACTTCGCCCAGAATTCAATTTTGTCAAGTATCTTTAGATATGATCGATATTACATATTTTTAAGCAGTGCCTGGTGTTTGATAATTACATGATCTTCTCCTATCATATACTTAAATTTTACTTATTTAAATTCATTCTAATCTTTTCAGTCATTCTAATATTTTATTTTTGAGAACATTTTAGTTAGCAATCCAAACATACCAAAAGTTTTAATTTTTTATACTACATTCACGGTAATTTATTATGAACACATTTTCGTGGAGAAAATATATATTTTGTAATTCAGATTGACCTATACTAAAAAAATATGTTGATAATATTGCAATGAAATGTTATTTTTAATATGGAAATATGTAAGTACTTACATACATTGTACATATATTTTATAAAAGGTATACAATTTTTGCAAGTAAGCGCTCAGCGTACAGTCGGTAAAGAAGTATTATGAACAGACTGCGATTGTCATGTTCGAAAGAAATTTTCAATAAGGAAACGAATAATTATTCAAACAAAAATAGCAGCGATCGCTAGATAATTGGAATAACATCCGTGATGTTATTTGACTATAAATTTAATAATTAAGCTTAATAACTAGTTTTCGTGAGTATACCTTATGTATATACAAACAGTATGTGACAGTTTATAGAATATTATTATAACAGTTAATGAAATAAATATAAATCTGGTATTAATTATAAAATACATTAAAATACATAAAATCTAGTATTGCATCATAATATAATAAAGATGCAAAATGTTACGGTTAAAACATGCAAGCGAATATGGCATTTTGTTAGGTTATTGAATCAATATCTATAAACATTCTACTTTATTCTTAATTAATTATATAGATTATCTATTGTTTCATTCAATTTCCATAAATCTAAATTGTATTAATATTTATAATTATGTTACATAGATAGACAAATATCTTTCAAATGTGATTATTGCGTAAATTTTTTAATTTGTATCAATGTAATATGTTCTATAATAAATATATTTTAGATCATGACAGCAGTGAAAGTTCATGGTGGAATTGACATTTTGAGGCTTCCTGTTAATCAAGAAGAACATGTATTTCCTCCGTGGCATATCAAATACACGCAGTCACACATACTTCATTCTAAATGTTCTAAGAGTGAAAATGGTTGTGGCGATAAGGATGCTGATGCCTGTCAATTTTGCATGTACATTAGATAACTTTGATTATGTATAGAATTGTGGTGAATTATATTATATAAATACTTCTACAGTTTCAGCCGTACCTTAGAATTGCCGCACATGCCAGACATGGTATTTCCAAATAATATATTAACTTTAAAACATCAGGATGGTGCATCCATGCAATTCAATGCATTAGATGCTTTGAGAACTGTATCAAATGGAAAAATTAATATTCAATTAGCATGTGCAGAAGCTTGGAAAGAATCCAGGTACAGATATGTATACTCATATGTATTCACTTTATTTATCAATACATTTTTTAATAGTAATAATAATACATGTATGTATATATATATATATACTGCTTTCTGATCTATGGAATAATATATATATATATATATATATATATATATATATATATATATATATATATATATATATATATATATATATATATATATATATATATATATATATATATATATATATATATATATATATATATATATATATATATATATATATATATATATATATATATATATATATATATATATATATATATATATATATATATATATATATATATATATATATATATATATATATATATATATATATATATATATATATATATATATATATATATATATATATATATATATATATATATATATATATATATATATATATATATATATATATATATATATATATATATATATATATATATATATATATATATATATATATATATATATATATATATATATATATATATAAAAAAATATATATATATATATATATATATATATATATATATATTAATCATTTATACATATATATATATATTATTCCATAGATCAGAAAGCAGTGAATATTTGGAAGAAAAAGTAAAACCATTTGATTGGACATTTACCAGTAATTATACTGGGACGATATCTAATTTTGAAATTCAGGAAACTAATGAACGAATTGACGTGGATAAATTAAAAAGGAGAGATAAAATCCTGTTTTATCATGATTTAACATTGTTTGAAGATGAACTTCATGATAATGGCATTGCAGTTTGCTCTGTAAAAATTGTAAGTCACTATATGAATACATTTGTCCTAAAAAAGAAGTATATAACTTGTTTTATCCTAATTTTATTTACTGATTTAAATAGCGAGTTATGCCAACTAGCTTTTTCATTTTATTGAGATATTTTCTGAGAATTGATGGTGTAATGTTGAGGATAAATGATACGCGGCTGTATCATGAATTTGGTCAAGATTATATATTAAGAGAATATACATCAAGAGAAGCCAGAGTTGAAGAAATACGTGTAAGTAATTGTTTAATATAGTTTTAATACAAACAATACTCTAGAACAAAACTATAACAGCTCATGTTTTATCCATACCAATAATATGACATGTCAGTGATTTTGCTTTCAAAATTTATATTGCCTTGCAATGCAATGACAAAACATTTTTATTTTCATTTTTTGTTAATAAAAATTTCAATAAAATGTTGGTGAATTTTTTTCTAATTGAAATGAGATTAAACACAATATTATTATAATATTATATAAAATGTTACATACATATTAAATTTATTTTTTGCTTGTCCTTTTAAAATGTACTGTGTTTCTCTTAAGATATAGACTGTGCTTTTTTAAACGTACTGTTTATTGATATTTTATGGATAACCAAACTCCTGAGTTTCTATGAAGTCTCTACTCTACTACATAAACAAAATAACAATTAGAATGAACCAGAAATTAATTTTTTTTAGGTTCCACCATCACTTTTTGTAGAGCCAAGCGAAATAGCACCACATTTGCCCTTAACTGGATGTCAGTATCATAAGCTAATAATGATGTCAAGTAAAACAGAATTAGTCACAAACAACGACAACGAATTGGTTAATGAAATAGTAACAGCCAGTGTAACACCTAGAGCTAATACAAGTGAAATAGACAATTCTGTTACCTAAAATTTCCATTTATATATAAATATATCACAATCTGAAACAATCAAATGTGCATTTATTGAAAAAAGACATTGCCATGTAACCTTTCATTGTGTGTGAATTTTCAATTTAATTAACAATAAAAAATTTTTAATTCGATATATAATATTTAACACATGAATAATGCATCCAAAATGTTCCAAATAAATGCTTTTTCGGTAATATATCTAGTACCATTATAATTGTTTTATTCCATCATTTAACAATTGTATAGAATTGTCACATTTTATATCTGTAAAATATAGTAGAATCTACTTTTATTTCTATGTTTTGGAAGAAGATGCTTTTTCATTTAAATTTTCATCATATCGTCTTCTAACAACTGTATTTATCCACAAAAGCAATATTTTATTATATTTGTGTTCACTTATGCAAGTAATTCTGTTTGCAAGAAAATATAGTTTGGCATTAAATAAATCTTCACATGTAATTTCTTCACTTGATTTCTTTGTGTACATAAAATCAAATGTACAGTAACCTACTGCATGTACATGAGCACAACGTTTTAGTTTTCTACCCAATGTCCCATTATTTGTCTCCAGTGACCAATTATGTTCAAAAATCTATATAATAAATATATACATTAATATCATCTTGCTCTTTCATATATTACAGTTAAAATTACATTTTATCACTTACAGCTATATCAGATATACTTGTCCCAGGAGAATACACAAATTTCGGACGGGGATTTGGTAAATGTTTTGGGCACTTTTGAGTTTTTAACGATTTAATATCTATATTCTTTGCACTTTTATTATATTTAATGTCAATTTTCTTTCTTCGCAATGCAGCTCTTTTGAAATCTTCTTTCTCATAATAAATAATAATATTTCCTGTTCCATCATCAACTATAACAATTTTTATTTAAATTACTTGTTTAACGCAAAGGCCTTTATTAAAGCTTACAGATATTACTTGTCAATTCACATAGTTTATATTACTTACCATGATATTCATAATATTTAGGATCTTCAGAAACATCTATCACAAATCCGACTATTTCTATTTTTCTTATTTTAATATAAGGCATATTGAGAGGATGAAATTTGACATGTTTACCCTCAAAATAAGGTATAAATCTATACAATTCCATTATTAAGAAGGGTTCAAAAATTTCTATATTATCTAAAATAATTTACTGTGCTTGTAATAATACATAATATTTATATAATGATATATTTAAAATTTATACTACTTATCAATTATTGCATTTAATGTTTTAATCCACCTTCAAAGTTTTTATGTTTGAAATTGACCCACTCTTTTTCATCAGATAGATACTGCGGAAAATCATAATCTCCTTTGTATGAAACAAAATCTTCGTTGATTTCTTTTGGTAAATCCGTCCAATTCATTAGATCTATATTTGCTATATTTGTTATATTTTCTAATTAAAAAGAATATATAATTTAAAAGAAGATCTAGAGAAATTCACTACACACCACATTTTATTTCAGTATAAATAACGTTTAGAAAATTTAGCAGCATGTATTAAGTGTTTACATTCACGTATGTTGAGATGAAAGACTTGGCGCGAAGAAGTTTGTTACCAGTAGAAAAGCACTTGGAAGATTCAAGTCTTTATTTTAAGCAATATTAAATTTGGACGTTTGCCACTAGAGTGCACTGTTAGTTCCATTTTAAAATTGTAATCTTGGCGCTGGATTAATTTTAAAATATATCAGGCAAGTACAATCGATAATTTGAAAAGATAAAATGCAAAGCGAATTGAAATAATTAAAAAATTATTTATTTATATTTTTATTAAACATTACAAATGCAAGCGATGTAAAATAGAATGAAAATAAATAAAAAATAAAACTTAAAAATCAGTTTACAGTCAAATAGACGTAGACAATTTAAATTTTTTACTAAACTTATATGGAATCAATACTTATACGCAACGTATAAGTAAGATATTAAAAGAGATGTAAGAATATTCATAGTCTTTTAGTATAAAACAACAAGAATCTTTGTTTTCAAATTATATTACAAAAATTATGTTATAAAAAAATTCTAGTTTTACGAGAATGTGCAACTTGTATTGATGGAACATTTTTGAATGATAGTAAGTGACATCAGCAGTGTTTGCATCTATGAATAGCTGAATGATCAAAGGCACGGACACACAGTGTTTCCTTCGGTTGAAACCGTAATTGCTGTTACCAGTCGTATTGTATCGCAGTAGACTACCACGGATCAAGTCCCGTGTGCATTGTTCCTTTACACACCGTCTGACCTTGGGAAGGTCACGCCTGTTACACGCACCTCGCATTCCTCGAATCCCCCGCGTTCCATTCTTCGCGGAGGCAAACTTACTTCGATAAGCAATAACGTCTCATTTCATGCACACTAATGTATACCTCTTGTGAATTAAGTAGCGGATTCCAGTTTTTTGTTTTGGTTTGTTATAATTTAAATATAAAATGGAAGTCTAAAATGGAAGTCTAATTGTTATAAAAAAAGATTAGTTTAAGAATATTGCCTTCAAAAGCAAGGATTCTTTAGTTTTCTTAAAATTTCTTAAAATTTCAGCAGTTTGTATTTGTAGCATCTCGCATGCATGTTTTAATAAGCATTACAGTTGCTGACACATGATGTACGATACACCGTAGAAAAGCAAGCGAATGCTAATGATAAAAATATTATCAAAAGTTTCCTATAAGTTAACCTAGAAAAATGTATTAGGTTACATTCTTTAATGTTTAAAAATGTTTGCAATTCATTTCTATGTAAATAAATAAATAATGCACCCTTTATTTACTTGTCTTTCATTCAATAAAAGTTGAAAACGAAGATATGTACTATTATCTTTTCTGAATATCATATGCGTTTCTAGTGTAATAAGTGTTTCGAGTAGGTGGCGCCACGAGTAATCTTTCGACCCGCGAAGAATTCAAAATACATTAAAATTTTAATTTGAAAATTTGCGCCTCGAAATGTAACGAGAAAACAAGAATAAAGTACAAGTAGAAATTTCTTCGACAATATCGATCTATCAAGAAAAACATTATAATATCCAAACGCGACAAGGATTCTCTGGAAGATTGCAATGGCAAGGAGACAGTCTTTTCTGGTTGATCTAGCGATATAAAAAGGTAGAGGAAGGAAGAAGAAGCGAATCGAATCAATCATTGTTCGACCAACATTGTGACACGATATCTGTACCTATGAAAGAAACACGTAGAAAATCTGTTGAGCTTCGTAACACAACCGAAGGAAGAAACCAAAACGTGGTTAGCGACGGTGTCAAGATTCTTTCGAATCAATGACTCTTACTTAATTTTGAACATTTTTGAAATGAGCAATTTAAATTGAACCATTGCTTCATTTTTAACTTGATCTTCATTTATAAATTACATTATTTTATTATAATTGTTCCTATCATCGTTATTGTTCAGAATTCATTCGTTGTTCAAACGCGGTGACTTTAGAACAATGTGTTCGTACATAAATTATATCTGTTGGTATATAAATTGCATCTGCTGTTTGTATTATGCGTGTTAACAAATTATATAAGGTAACGTTTGCTTTTTCTTCTTATTATACCCATTACTGACAAAATTACCGAGAACGGAAGCGAGCTCTCATAGTCTCCTTCTATCTATATCGCTTGTCTAGTTCTCATTAGCGATGAACCAACATCCGTTTGCGGAGCTCATTATAGCATTTATTACAAATTCAATACCGTGCGACCATTAACTCACGAATATCAATATTGTATTACTGTAAGCAGGATTGCGAACAATTAATAGTACAATATACATCGCGACAATATTCTTCTATCGAGTTCTTGAATTCTTTTCAAAGATAGGATCCTGAATCGATCCCGTCGCTATTTCGCAGATTAGCGATGTAGTTGGGACGTGACAGCCCTCTGTGATGTTCAAGATTTCATATCACTTTCAGATCTATTTAATACAATTGGTGTTACATTAACAACAGTCTTGTTTACAAGATGAATTTCATAAAGGATAGAATTAACAGAAATCAGATATGATACTTAATGTTTGCTTTGCCATTGAAAATTGACAAGGAATCGATCACAGGCACGATTATAATTGCTGATTTCTAGGAAATAATTCCTACAGAAGAAACATTTACAGTATTCTGTTGTAAGATTTCAAGTGTACTGTCTACATTCCGATGATACAAACTAAGACAAAACCAAGCAGCGTTATAAAAAAAACTCCGCGGAAAATGAAGCTTTTTCATCGGTAACAAGTGTCTGGATTTTGAGAAATGTATAGAAAGATCGTTGTTGAAACGTATAATTTTCTGTTTTAGGTGTATGATAGAAGATTCTTCCTTCCAGGAGTCAAAAAATTTGGCACGGATCATTTTCGTTATGACGCGTGCGAGCCCTTCGTTTGTTACCGAGAAGCAAGAGGAAGCTTCGCGTGGCGTTCGTTCCCATCGCTGAGCTTTGCTACCTCGCACGCTGCCATGATGCGTAGGTGTTTCCGGCCGGCTGAAGCACGGGCATCTGCTCGATCTCTCGTGCGCGCAAGAACGAAGAAAGAGAAGGAGAAAAGAACGAAGAAGGAGAAGGAAAGGAGAGAGAGACAGAGAGATGGACAGAGAGAAAGAGGGCGATTAGAGAGAGGAGACAGCAACGCACGGCGTGACGCAAGAAAGAGAGAGAGAGAGAGAAGAACGAGCCGGCAAATAAGGGAGCTAGCGAGCAGAGCGAGAAAAATAGAGTCTGTCAGCGGGTGAGCGAGTAGAAAAGCAGGATGCGAGTGGAAGGACGCCGGCCGTGGAGAGAGCAACCAAGAGAGAGAAAGAGAGAGAGAGGGAGGATATGCTCGGCCGGAAGCAGTTACTCGTGCGATGTAACGAAAATATCAGCCGTCCGTTTCGCAATCGGCCTACCCGCGTTCGCCGAGTTTAATATAGAACACTCGCACGTCCTGTCGCGAAAACATCACACTAACCCCGCTAACCGCACGTTGCTATTGCATTTATCGCGTCAGATCGAGAAAAAAGATCCCGTTCATCCTCCTCTGTATGATTCGACCGAAGCTGCGTCGACGAAAAGAAGACGTCTGCACAGTGTCCAGGTACTTTAAGGCGCGCACTAAAGCGCGGACGACCTTCTCTTTGGAATCCGTGCGGTTACTTCCACGTATCGTGTCCTTGATATCTGCCTTCGATGCACGAGAATTCGATAATCGGGTGCAACTTGTACGATATTTTCTATCGTTCTTAATCCTCGCGACTTAACTTCAACGAGGCGAATCAAGATTGGGTTTATTATCAAAATATGTATCCTATTTTTTTTTTTTTTTTTTTAGGAAGTACGTATATCGATCGTTTTCATCGATGGATCATTTTAAATACACGCTTCCTTTCCACTGGATCGCGAAAAACGTACCGCGACCTCGCTCATTCTAATCTCTCTTTCACGGTAATAAATTTCTGTATATCGTATCAGCACAATATTGAGCTTAATCTGTCCTGTTAGATCGTAAGTCATATTTGTGTAACCGATGGCTCGTAGATCTTTTCCTCTTCCTTCTTCCCCCCTTCTCTCTCCACGTGACCTTGGCTCTCCCATTACCCTGACGCGATAATAAATTCTTACGACGGATCCCTATAAAATCGCTCGGCGACGAACGCTTCTCGCCTTCGTTTCGTCCCCGAATGCTTCGCTTTTAATTCCCTGCCCGATAAACCTGATCGACCGTAAAAGCGTCTGGCTGTTTCAGATACCTCGATCGCACTCCACTCGTTCAAAATTTCACGAAATCCTCTCCCTCTCCGCTACTCGTTCGTTTTCGTGAAATGTTTATCAGCGACTCGCGCGCGAGTGACAGCCGCGATAGCTCGTTCCATCCTCCGTTTCACCTACCACATGCACGAATCACTGATCAATACGTCGTTCGTAGAACGACACTGGAAATATCACGCGATTCTCGGAATATCGCGAGCATTCCACGAACACCTCTCTATCAGTCTCGATTCTTTTCCCGACCGCATTATTGGTTCGGATTTTTGCGTTTCCGGGACGATGCGCTTCGAACGTATGTGTACAATGGTCGCTTCTATTTGACTCTTCTGTCGCGTCGAATGGCGCGTTCGATCACTCGGACTGCTGCTCCGATGGAACATTTCCGAGTTACGCATGACGCGAGAAAAACTATTGAAGTATTGTGAACTAATCAGGGCAAGGACTCACTCTGAATTAAGTTTGCCTCGTCCTCTTTCCAACAATCGATCTCTTATGTCTTAGGAATTGAACTATCGACGAATCCTTCCGACGAATAAAATCTCACGCGTATCTACACGAAAACCATAGAGCAAGAATAGGATAAGTCACATTTAGCAATTTGAAAGTCCAATATCTTATCAACGTAACATCGTCAATTTCTAATCTACTGCTAAAATGCTTATCTTCTGGTCGAATAGGATGTTCTCCCTTTTAAGTACGTCATATCAATGTACATGCTTTTAATCGCTGAATAACATCAAAGTTAAAAAATCAACAACAGATTTGTTCTTGTCACGCCCTTTCCCTGTAATCTTCGCATACTTGATTGTTCTAACGTATTCGTGAAAACGAT